ATTTACATATAATGAAGCTGACAAAAGTGGGGTGGTGAAAAAGTACTTAAAGCTTCTCTTGTTGCACTGGGTTTTCAGTCCAGATAGAATGGCGGCCTCGATTGCCAGATTAGTCAGACACTGTTTTGTGAGAACACAAGAGGAATTTCAATACAGCAAAAATATTGAGTTTTCTCTTATCCTCTTGTGAAAGGCTTGCTCCTCTCTCACAATACAAAACTCCCCAACTGCACGCAATAAAAAAATAAAAAATAAAAAAAAACACCTTGGAAGAAGGACAGGAAAAAACACCTCTCTTCACCAAGGTTATTCAATGATAAGCAACAGTACTCAGGCACACAATGACAGCTCAAAGTGCCAGCTATATTCAAAAATGATGGAATTGTAGATTTTGTTAATCATAGTCCTTGGGGGTTTGAATATTCACTGCCTGAGAGTAACAATAAATAATCCGGCCAAAGACATAATTTAACGATATGGAAGCAGATTCAGTCGTAATGTCATATGATTTGTTATAGATACATAAAATGTTCATACTATCATCCTAAAGCTGTCTACTGCCACTCCATTCAGACTTTGCTCATAAAGCAAGCTACGCATGATGCTCTCAGCTGCAATAAATCATTTAAGGGTATGTAAAGAAGGCTACGCTAACAACACAAGAACTGTGAGAAAATTCTCCCCCTTTCCGAGATGCACACATACAGCCAGGCACCACTCCAGGCATAGTCTATCTTTGCTGAGGAAAACCTCCAATCTTTATGGCCACTACAAAAAAAAAAAAAAAAAAAAAAAAAATCAAGAATTTAGCATGTCTAATTAAAATGTAAACAGTGTAATGAGGACATCAGTGATTTAGGCAAACGTCTCTCTGGCTGCCACTGGGGGTATGATAATTACAGAGGCAAATCTATGAATGCACATGAATCTCCTACAAGTCCAGATTAAAAGCCTTAGTGCTAAACCTAGTTTAGTACACCTGGGGATTGTCTATTCTAGCCAATCCCCAACAGGCGCGGAGCTGCCTCGTCTCCTTATGAGTGCACAGACACCTCATGCGAAGGAGATGAAACAAAGCCTGTGTTTCAACGTGTTGGCGAAATGAGGAGAACAAGGAGTTGAAAGCAACAAATGCCACACTCCATGTAAATAATATGCCTGGCATGTATGGCCTGAATAAACCAGCTTTACCACATGACTTATGGATGTGTTGCAGTTATAATCAGTCATTTAGAGAGGCATAAGCTCTATAGGCACACTGTGCATTATGGTATGGATCATATAAACACAGGATGTATGTATGAAAGATTAAATGGATAAATAGAGAACAAAGCATTGTGTCCTCCCTTAAACTGGACTGGAAAAAAAACATGCACAAAGAGAAACAGACAGGCACACACACACAGTACGTGCACAAAGACATGCACTTGCACAACCCTTAAAAACATTTAAATGATAAAATATGTGCAATCACAGAAAGTGATGTGAGCAGTGTTAAGACTAAATATCCACTTGGTTCCTAATATGCAACCTGTGTTGTTTTATCCACCAGAGTCTTTTAAAACCAAACTGTAAGTATTCTGTTTGAGTACGAGGAACAAATAACACAACAGGCCTGTAGCTAGGAGACATATGAAGGGTTAGTACAAGCAGCCAATGGTAGGCACATGCATTTTAGAAAATGTCCATGCCATATGCTGTCACTCAGAGGAAGAAAAAAAACAAGTCTGAGCAGACAGTCGCTGTGTCTAAATGAGATGGTAGGAAGAGGCGGAGGAGGAGGAGGGGGAGGTGGAGGGGAGAGAAAGGGAGGATGTCAAGGATTCATGGTCCTTCATCTTTGCAGTAGAGCAAACACGTCCCTCAGTATAGCAACAGACAGCTGCCTCCACTTTCTAATGCAGTCCAACTTAGATCACTGCAAGAATTGTCAGCGTAGAGAGAAACACACAAAGATAACATAGCAAGCTGCCATGAGGGAAACGACAGAGATGTGGATACAAGAGAGAGGGAGATGGAGAGAGAAAGAGAGGGGAGGGAGGGAGGAAGACGTGGAATACTTAGAAGAAAGACTGGAGTTTTTCTCTCTCTTTTTTTTTTTTGTCCCTTCTGCTAGCGTCTTTACTCCATTGGGGACTCCCTCGCTTTTTATATAAAACACAGGAAAGACACCACTTAACATATTTGCTTAAAGATGACAATCCTGCACTGATCTCATTCAACATAGTCGTGTGGCTGAGTGGGATTTCTTAGTAGTAGTTACTGACAAATAGATCCATCTGTAAAGATTAATATTTCATCAATTTACAGACAGCATTGCAGACATCCCAGGGGGTGTTTACACAGAGTCAGCTCCAGGTATTCAGGAGGTGGCTTTAATTCTCATCATTAGTGCACATACTGTATATAAAGTGTCTGTCCTGTCGTATACCACCTCCCTTTAATCATGGTTTAACTCATGCTGTCAATTTAAGTGATCAGATCGCTGATAGTGCTGCACACTTCAGATTATGGACAGAGTGTTTATAGCAGCTAAATTGCTTCACACAGACACATTAAGTAACGTGACAATGAGTCAAGATATGCTGTGTGTTATAATGGTCGTAACAGCGGACAACACAGATACTGAATTTCTGGAATTTGCTCAAATAAAAAGGAGCTTGTAAAGCTGCATTTTCCTAAAAAATATTAATAACAATTTTGAAATTTATAGATGACTTTGGAAATGTTATTTTCCTGATTATGAATCTATCTGAATACATTAAAACAATGAGCAAACACTTTAGCAATTTCTTTGTCAATATAGCGCAACTAAAAATAACAAGTGTATTTCTACGCCCTTGCATCGCTGGGAAATGGGTGGATGTAATTATTAACTGTAGTTTACTTCACACAACTTCTTGTTATTATTTACAGTCACTCTTCAAAGTGTGAACATGTGTGACACTCAGTAAAGAGGGTTATGAAAACAGGGGGGTCAGCATCTGTCGTCAAATTCGGCTCAGAGATCCACGTCGAGTGACAGCTTAGATTGCTATCATAAGTGCTATCCTATCAGAAATAAACAGAGCTGTCAGCTCCTTTCCATGCACACCCGAGGTGTCTGGGGTTAAGTAAGGACCTGCAAGAATCACCTAACACGCTGCAGGAGCTCAGACATGGAACCCCTCCAGGGTTTGAACTCTGATAAATATCACCAGGTTGTACTTGATAATTAAGAGAGAATGGGGGGAACGGTTTGATGAATGCACAAGGATTGTTTTTGCTGTGCAGAGACATTATAATTTTTCAATAAAAACACTTATACTGTATATTTTCAATTACTTCAACAATGCATTATTGTGATTTGTCAAAGTTCTAAATTGATGTGGACATTCCAATTATAAAATAATACATTTACCAGACTGCACAGTGTATTTCAGACTGCAAGCTGTAGATACAGATTCAAATATTATTAATTGCTCCAAACTATATCCCACTTTGCTCAGTATCCGTATCTGAGTAGCTCAAATCAAAGTTCTTTTGTAATACAAAATACCCACCACAGCCACACATGAGGGGGGGTCTAAATATGAAACACATAAAAGTCCAACCAACAAATTTAATACCCACTTTACAAAAACACATTACAACCAAACACTCAAACATAATGAACGTGGTAGTAATGTACATTTTTTTTTTCTCCCCACTGAGTGACGGATGGGGCAATGCTGTTATTTTTTTGAAGAGGAATGAAAACATACTTCAGCTCACTGCTGATGATGTTAATTTCCTCTCAAAGGAAAACATGCAAATGAAATGTGTGAACACAATTAAGTAAATTGTTCTATGGAGGTGGGAACGGTTCGCTCAGGACAAAGTGTTTGCAAAAGGGAGACAGCACACAACTTGTTACACCTCCTGACTTTGTGTCCATGCTGGGATCCATTTACTGGTTTGTCACAAACCATTTCCACTGCAACATGAATAACAGCAATTTTTCGACGCTGCCTTTCAAATAATTTGCGAGCAAATGTGATTTAGTTGCACTAGTGAATTGTTAAACAGTGTGACAAGTAAATATAAAAGTGCATGACAACTTCCTAAATGAAACAAGGCCAACTGTGAAGTCGTACTATATTCCATAAGGGTTTTTACAAATTACCTATACTATAATAATATTGTCAACATATTATAGAATTGCTGTAGAGCAAGTACTTACTTTTCCATCATCCTTCAAATGTATAATTGCTGAATACCAGATTTAGTTTTTATGTCATGGTGCCAGATAATAACTGTGATGCTTTATGTATTGTTCTGTTCAGTTTTCATTTTAACAACAGGCATTTCACTAGACAGTCATTTTTAAACATTTGCAAGAGATCCTGAGCTACAGCCATGTCATAAATTTTACAATAAATGACATTTTAAAGCTGTCATGATATCATCTTTTTAAATTTCTCAATATTTAATTTATGGCTAATAAATGTCATAATAGCAGACTATGTCTCCACAACAGAAAATGTAAAAAGAAAAGAAAAAAGTGTGTGTTTGAAATTTAGTCTCTAAATGGAAATTTGCAACATTTTGGGATAAATTCACATCTATTGTCTATGAAGCGAAAATATTCATATTGTTGGAGTTATGCATGTAGAAATATGAAAGCAGTGCAATGTGAAAGAACACTGCACACTGAGAATGTCAGAAACAGAACGCAAAACCAAATTAAATTGGGGGCAAATTCTTTAACCTGCACAGGATACTTTGAGCCTAATTGATAATGCCATTTGTATGAAATTAATCACATTATTGTGCTGTAATCTCTGGACTGTGCTTATGTATTATTATCATTATTATTATTATTATTATTATTATTATAACCTAAATTAAATAAACTTTGGAAGATGGACCAAACATGCACAAATATACAAAAAGCATTGCTGCAATAACAGCCTCATTGCAAATATGACAAATATGAAATCATGACAACAATATTAATGATAATTCCAAAATGAACGTACCATAAATACTGGTGCTAGTGATCATGTCTTCAAGCCTAAAAACAAGAGGAGAGGGGAAAACAGCAGAAACGGAATTTTCACGAGGAGGAATTCCAAAGGTTGCTTCTCATTACAGGCACTTTTTTCCTCAGATATCGGATTTCACAAGTTTAAAAAAAAAACGCACGGTCCCTTGTTTCTTTCTTCAGGTATTCATTTAGGATCGTGTAACTGAGGACAATGCAGACCAAAAAGGGAAACGGAACATGCGAGTGAAATGAAATAATAATTTGAAATCAGCAGCCCTGGACGGAGACGCAGAGAGCCACACAGGCACGGCTGGAGCCTGTCACTTCTTGCGCGAGTTGAAACGAGAGAATAGGAAGCATGTGAGAGACTGTAGATGACATAAAACACACATTCTTCATGCCGCCTATTAGAGGAAGAGGCTAAACCAGCGTGATGCCCCCCTCCCTTTACTTTTAAAATAGATTACTTGCCAGCAGTTGTCCCACTAAGAGCGCAATGACAACCCATCTATTAACCTCCCGCCTGCGGTTATCGCGACAAGTTTTATTCAGGCTGACATGCAAAAACTTCTCGTTGCAGGAAAGTTATTTAGGAGACCACTTCCAGACGTGTATGTAACCGTGTCCTGGAAGTGCAGTGAGGAAAACATTAAATGCAAACTGCGTCTAATCCCGGAACTTTAACGCGTTTATTTTCTCTTTCCTCAGACGATGACAAGTCATGTAGCTTGTGCAAACGCAGAATGAGTGGCCACAGACTGCGCTGCAGTTTGTGTGATGCGCGACACAGTCTCTCGGCGAGCGTTTGCGCGTACAGGGCTGCTCCGTTTCTCTTTTTAATTGTCAACATCGCTGATAGACAGGATAAGACTTACCTGTGTAGGTGCCAGAGCAGCGTCAGGGTTTATAGTACCATCGATCCGGTGAGTGCGCAGATGAATGGCTCGCGGAGGTTAAGCGCGGCTGCTCGCGATTTGAAACCATTCCAAGTTAGTGAGGGGAAGACTGACCACAGCCTCTGCCATGTTGGAATTCCAAACCCTGGACAGCTGCTCCGCTGACTGAAGGCAGCACGCGGCACACTGCGCATGATCTGTGCGGCGGGAGCCAAATTCAAAGAGAATCAAGCCTAATAAGCAGCACTTCACAAGCAGCCTATCATGACAACATCTCGCTATAGGCTCTCTCATGTATTCACTGTTTAATTGTACTGTCTGCACGCACTACTAGGGGACTGGCTTCACGTGCCCTGCCCTGTATAGTCCATCTGCACTGCTTGGAACTAACTGAGGTGCATCATGTGCATTTTTCTTTCTATAGGAGCCTGTTTTCTTTCTGTACATTTAACACACATGTCTCTCATTCATCAGTGAATATGATGTGTTTATACAAAGGGTTGGGCAGCTTTTCTACACATTGTTGAACATTGCTTCTGTCCAAGAATTACCTTTGACTAATCTTTGCCAACTACCTAGCCTATAGTCTATTTTTCTCTTCTGGTGCCATCATCTGCTGTCATCATAGGGGTCATTATAGGCTATGATAAAGAAATTGTTCGATGGATGGTAAGACATTATTTGCTTTCTTGCCAAGAGATAAATCAGCAACACATTCTCACTCTGACCTCGTCACATATTGAGGTTTGGTCATGGACTTTCCACATCCACATACAACATGAAAGGTACCCTGGGTGTGTTTGTTGCTGATGTTCTGGGACACTGTGTTAAGGTCTACCTGTTACATGCATTGTCTTCTTTCAAAATACACTTATGTTTTCACAGGAAATGTAACGTTTACATACAGTTTCTTTCAAAATAAACGCACTACATTGGTACAACACTGTGATGATTTTTTTCCTTCAACAACAAACACACATGGTTGGGTTTAGGCAACAAAAGCAAGAGGTTGGGTTTAGGAAAAAAGAACATGGTTTGGATCTCTCGGATGAAAGTTGGTGCTTGTTGGACCTATATACCACCCCTCCCAGCCGCCCCAGTGGGACTCTCACTGCCTTAAGTTTTGTCCTTGTCCTGCTGCATTTCCCCCAGACACCACCGGGCGCCATTAAACTATAGCTGCAACCGGCCGTGTATCATGCCAACATTAAAGGATGCCTTTTTTCGCTGGTTTCTGACGCTGCAAGTCCCTGCCCAAGCACCCGATTTTGATGACTTCAGAGGGACACCGAACTCAAGGAGAAGATCAATACCAAGCCAGTTTTTCGGAACAAACTATGTATGTCACAGTCATTTGCTGGCTAGCTTTTCTTAGCGTAAAAATCATAAACTGTTTAAAAGAAGATGACGTAGCCTCCAGGGGTCTCATTTCTAAACGAGGCCTGAAAGAGGTGTACGCCACTTGCAAGACAAAAGTTGTGATCTATAAAAACAGACTTGCTGGTAGAAACTTTGACCCCTGCTTATGGACATTTTGGAGACGGGAAATTGGTGACGCAGATGGTGAGGTGGAAGCCTGATTGTAGAAATTGTTGAATATTTTTTGGCGCACGCCTTTATTCACTTTTGTCCTTACATACATTTTTAGTAAGGATCCTGTGCATTGTTTAATAAGGTCTGAAAAGTGAAGTCAATGCAAAAGTGCCTTACACCTGCATTCTTTCCAATAGCCAGCAAGAGGCAACTGCACTGGTTGCAAAAAGAGGTCTGATTATACAGAATGCTCCAGGAATGAGTCCTAAAACCTGGGAATGAGTTTGCATTTTAGCACTCCCAGTTCCCTTGTCTCAAAGTCAGTGGGTTTGAATGGGTTTTTGGTCAGATGTGATTTGATGTTTTGTTCTACAACATACAACACATCAGTATAATCCGTATCTGTATATACTGACAGTGAATATCTGTGTATATACTAACTGCGAAATATCAACACTTGATACATGCAATAATCTAAATTCTGCCATTCAGTCTGTCTCTTTATTATATTCTACTTCTTTTTCTTCTTACCTTATCTTATCTTATCTTATCTTATCAGTACATGCCCCTTTATTGAATTTTAAAGATTTTACATGTCTTCAAAGAGACGGTTGCTAACACATGGCTAAATGAGACTACAGAATGTCATCACGCCGAATGTAGCTTTACAGCCTCATGGTGGTGGTGACGTTAAGTCATGCAACTGTGGTGTAGTACATTTATAGCATAACGTTAGCTTTTTATTTTTGACGTAAAAGTGGTGTTCATTTGTGAAGATCATCTTCCTGAATAAAACATCTAAACATACATTTTTGTTTGCCACAGAGCTTATTTTCTGCAATAATCCAAAATCAGTGGAAATATCCCATAGGCTTTTTGACAAGAGAACTTGGGTAATGCTAACTTTCATGTTGGCCTACAGAAAAGTGTCATCCCAGGAGCACATTATAGAAGACTATGAGAAAATTGCTTTGCAGTTGATTCATTACCTCAGGAAACATTTTCCTAATGAATTTATGATCTCAGTCACTAGTTTTAAGTCTTCTGCAATCCAGCAATGATATTCATTTTGTAAATTACGGTCCCATTTAGAGTAAAATAAACGATAAAGCAGGGTATGTTTCAGGGCATGGCTACCTTGTAATGACAAGTTGCTACACTGGCGTTCTCAGTCAGCACCTCCACAACTCCACCCTCTCATCTAAATACGATCACTTCTGGCTCCAAAAAAAAAACCAAGATGGCGACACCCAAAATGGCAGACTCAAGGCTTCAAAATCAGTGGGTGATGTCACGGAGGCTATGTCCACTTCACGGCCTCAGTTACCTTCAGATAAAGCCAGTATTTATGCTAAGCTAACCAGCAGCTGTGTGGCTGTAGCTTCATATTTACCTGGCGAATGAAAAGTGGTTTCGATTTTCTCATCTTTCTCTTGGCAAAAAAGCAAATATAATGTATTCCAAAATATCAAACAACAATTTTTTCCAAAATTAAAAATCCTCTCTTCATTTGCTGATTGACACACATTATTGCAGGTTATTCTCCAGCGTTTCTCTGTTATCTGCACATGGCCTTGAAAGGGGTAGGCTGATCTCCTCTCCTTTGGGGGAGCGTTGCTCGAAGACCCTGGTTAGACACATGATATGAGGATCGGCACAAAAAGTCCCATTATACCCTCTCATATCCATACCCAAGGCCCTCGGAGTGATGCATTGATTCAGCCTTCAGTACTCCCTTGACTGCACCATGCTAATTCCAACTGCATGAGCTCTTCTGAGAAATCCTACCCAAAAGGCAGGACACAGAGTGGCCACTGAGCTGCTCTGGACAATGACAGTTTAAGCTCATGCACTCCAGTATCTTTTACTGCTGCTGCCCCTGTTAGTGTTTCTTTTGTCATCAATTTAGAGGCAAAAGCAATGCAGATTGTATCGAAACTACCACACAAAAACAGAGAAGTAGAGAAAATGATCATAATAACACTACGTGCTTGATTTCATTTGCTGTGCTGCTGATTAGACGAGGATTCTGGTGCTCATCATGGAATAATGTCCTGTTAATACCAAGCTGACTCAACCAGAAGCGAATGTCCACGCTTGTAGGAACAGCCTGTGAAAATCTCTGTGTGCTGTGGAGGTCATGGTGAAAACAACAGCAGTGCATTTCCAGGTGTAGCCACGTCCATTGTATCCTTCCTCATATGGGCATGTTCAGTCTGTGCCTTTGTCCTTGTGTCAGCAGGCAGGACATTCTAAATTATTTTGCTCAGCTGCCTCCCTGAACTCTTGCTACAGCACGTCAATACACACATCATGCAGACACCCGCACATACAGCTACAGGGATCACAGTTCATGTCCATCACACACTTGAATCCTCCTTGACACAGACCAAACCTTGAGGAAATAAAAAGTTAGCCGGTTGCTATGATTTGGTGTGAGGCAATTTAAGATCAAAATTTCAGATTATGGATTTTGTAAATGAGTGGGTAAAAAGACTGAAAGCTGTACGATTAAATTGAGTTGTTGATGTATTAAAAATAAATGGTGGAAGCGTATCAAAGTATTTTATAGATGAATATCAGGTTTTATTTCTATGTTTATTACGTCTGTAATGAGGAATCATTGTTTAAACGAATAAAAACTGAATGAATGTAAAACACATGCTGACATCTCCTTTCCTTTCCTATCCTGCACACACAGACACTCACACAAACATACACACACACACACACACACACACACACACACACGGTGGAATTGTTCATTTCCCCAGGAATGAGGTTAGGGGTTTACATGGCACGTGACTGCCTGTTTTTTAACCTTCTGCCTACAGACTCTTATGTCATGTGTGATCACTTCAGCGATGTTGCTGGGCGTTTATTGTTTCTGCCACTAAACACTGACTTTGGCGAAACCAGCTGCATTGAGCCTTTCCTCACAGGAGCGTGCATCTTGATGTAACAAAGGAGACTTTTATTCCCCTGATCAGTAGTTTGTAGAATTATTGATTCATTTCCACGAGCAGTGATTGTTGTTAAACATTGTGCGATTAAAAAAAAAAGCAGCTTGTAGCATCAATCTTAAATGATGTAAAAATATATATCAAGTCATTCTACTGGCACAGAGAAGTCAGGCTTTCCCTTTTCTAAACTATCATTACAGAACTTAACAAATCCGATTTGGGGGTATTCATGGAATAATACTGTAAACAACATAATTTGCAGTAATGCTGCGCTGTATCTCTGGGCTATCACAAGCAGTGATTTCCATCAGGAATAGAGATCTTTGAGTAGAAATAATATACACACACAGGCTTAAGACACCATAGTGTGGTCACAGCAATGAAACATTTAAGCGCACAAGCTATTATAGAGAAAAAGATGTGCAAAAAAGTGTAAAATCACAGGCTTGATTTCCCACATTATTTCTAGATGTGTATCCAAGTCCCTGTATAGACGAGGGCTAAAATCCTAATAGGGACAAGCTTGAAGTGAATAGAGCCCACAGAGGATAAGCTACTAAATCTTGCAATAAAAGCAATGTGATTTACAGTAAATTCCACAAGGCTGACAGTGCCACAGCTGA